AGTCCAGCTCCCTGAGGTGCATCTGCTAGTTGCTATTGGGGGGCAAGCCAGGGCATTTAAAGAAAGAATGCCCACGGTGGTCGTCGTGGCTCACGCCTGTAATCCCAGCCCTTTGGGAGGCCGAGGCGGGTGGATCATGAGGTCAACGGATCGAGACCATCCTGGTCAACATGGTGAAACCCCGTCTCTACTAAAAATACAAAAAAATTAGCTGGGCATGGTGGTGCATGCCTGTGGTCCCAGCTACTCGGGAGGCTGAGGCAGGAGAATTGCTTGAACCCAGGAGGCGGAGGTTGCAGTGAGCCGAGATCGCGCCATTGCACTCCAGCCTGGGTAACAAGCGCGAAACTCTGTCTGAAAACAAAAAAGAAAGAAAGAATGCCCATACAGCAAGACGAAGCCACTCAACCCATCCAGCCTGTGGCGGAGACCACAAAGGTGGAGGTCACTGGGCTCAGAAGCAGCCTCACAGACGATCCAGCAGGACTGATGGGTCCCGGGGCTCAGACTGCCATTACAGCGCAGGAGCCCCGGGTGATTCTGGAAATTAAAGGAAGGAGAGTAGACCTCCTTCTAAACACCAGAGCCAGTCTCTCTTTTTTTCTCCTTTCTAATCCAGGCCTACGCTCTTCCCGTGGCACGACCAGAAGAGGCATCTCAGGAAAAGCCCTAATCGAATCCAGTATTTTTCTCAACCTTAGTTGACACGTGCTTCCAAGCCATTGTCATGCCAGCTCTGCTAGTCAGAAAAGCCTCCAAGTGAACCCTAGTTCACACGCCGCGTAATGTGGCTGGATTACTGTCCTCTAGGGGGAGCCCTGAGCCAACAAACAGCCAGTAAAGCAAGAAGGACATAAGGCAGGACAAGCAGCAGCCACTCTAAAGAATGTCTCTCTCAGGCACAAGCGCTCAATCAGCTGAGCCAATAGCGCTTAAAAGAATAGTTGGGGCCGGGTGCAGTGGCTCACGCCTGTAATCCCAGCACTTTGGGAGGCCGAGGCAGGTGGATCACGAGGTCAAGAGATCGAGACCATCCTGGTCAACATGGTGAAACCCCGTCTCTACTAAAAATACAAAAAATCAGCTGGGCATGGTGGCACGTGCCTGTAATCCCAGCTACTCAGGAGGCTGAGGCAGGAGAATTGCTTGAACCCAGGAGGCGGAGGTTGCGGTGAGCCGAGATGGCGCCATTGCACTCCAGCCTGGGCAACAAGAGCGAAACTCCATCTCAAAAAAAAAAAAAAAAAAAAAAAAAAATTTTACTATCATTAAGTTTGATAGGACTTTTTACTAAGATTGGTTATAGGATGCTCTCTAAACTATTAAAAGAAGGTTATAAAGAAAAAGATTTTATATAAGGAAAAATTTTGTATGGTAAATTCTTGTCCTAAAATAAAATTATTGGTTGTTTGGTGGCTCAGGCCTGTAATCCCAACATTTTGGGAGGCCAAGACAGGCGGATCACAAGGTCAGGAATTTGAGAACAATCTGGCCAATATGGTGAAACCCTGTCTCTAATAAAAAAAAATAAAATAAAAAGAAATTATTGGTTGTTTAAAGGAAGGATATTTAGGAGAAGCCAGAAAGTTTAAGTAGGATGTAAGAGGGTCTGTGAAAGTCACGGAAGAATTTATTAAATGAAAGAAATTGTCAAGATTAACGCTAAAGTTATTTTAGCCACCCAGTATTATATTTCTCCCAATCAGATTGCAACTCACAAAAATGACCCATGCTTAAAATTATTCTCTAGGGCCGGGCGCGGTGGCTCACGCCTGTAATCCCAGCACTTTGGGAGGCCGAGGCGGGTGGATCACGAGGTCAAGAGATCGAGACCATCCTGGTCAACATGGTGAAACCCCGTCTCTACTAAAACTACAAAAAATCAGCTGGGCATGGTGGCACATGCCTGTAATCCCAGCTACTCAGGAGGCTGAGGCAGGAGAATTGCCTGAACCCAGGAGGCGGAGGTTGCGGTGAGCCGAGATCGCGCCATTGCACTCCAGCCTGGGCAACAAGAGCGAAACTCCTTATTCTCTAATGGCAAGCAAAGGGGAAAAGGTATGCTTCTCTCGAGGAAAATGTTATTTTAATTTAACGTCTCTGGCGGTATACAGCGACATCTAGTGGAAGAAAACTGGTATTGCAATCCATTGGTGTAACTAACCCGTATCGAACTCAGTTTGGTCTATAGGACCCCCACTAACGGTGGTCATCTTAATACTCATACTCTAGCTCTGTATTTTAAATCTTCCTGTAAAAATTCTCTCTCTTCACCTAGAAGCAACGAAACTCCAAACGGTGCTGTGAGCAGAGCGACACACGGACACACCATTCTTCACAGAACCCTTAGATCAACCTCAGGAAGAGGACCGACCGATCAAGTAAGTGATGATTTTTTATATTGAGATATAGTTTGTGGTGGTATATTAATAATTGTTGTGATAAAATTAGTAGCACCTAACATTGATGAAATACCTGCTAAGTGTAATTAGAAAATGGTTTATTGGCTGCGAGTGGTGGCTCACACCTGTGATCCCAGCACTTTGGGAGGCTGAGGTGGGTGGATCACCTGAGGTCAGGAGTTCAAGACCAGCCTGGCCATCATGGTGAAACTCCGTCTTTAAAAAAAAAAAAGAAAATGGTCTGATTTACAAAGGCTCCAGCCTGGACTGAATTTCCAGCTAAAAGCGCTGTTTTAAAGCTTTAAAATAATTCTACTTCCATAGTTTGCAACATGAGTGATGTATGTTTTGCTGTGATAAGAACGTGGATTGTAATTACCCCCTCCCTGCCAGAGTGTTATGTCACACCTCATTAGACCACATATGTGAGTCAAGATTTTGGCGGACACTGAGAGCTCAGACTGTGGCAAACCCCTACTGTGTTAGCTTTTGGGCTCATCTCTGAAACCTCATTCTGCCAACACACAGCCCACGGGTGCTGAGGGACCTAAGGCATCATTTGGCTCTCTGAGAAAATTCCACGTAAAGGGACATCTTAAACTTCGGTTAGATTTTACTTTCCACAGAGGCCTGCTTCCACCCTAATGGAGCAACTAGACTTTAATAATTGGATTCTATCAAAATTGGAACTCACTATGTGGCTAACGTACCTTGCCTATGGGGTGTATTTCCTGTGAGATTTGTTCTCATTATTCTCCCCCTCTTTAGGTGTTGTAAAATGAAAACATATATAAAAAATAAAAAATCTTTTTGAATGGCAATAAGCCCTATGATTCATGAAATCATACCGTTTTTTATTGTTCGTTTGTTTGTTTGAGTGGAGTATCGCTCTGTAGCCCAGGCTGGAATGCAGTGGCGCAATCCTGGCTCACTGCAACCTCTGCCTCCCCAGTCCCAGTTCAATTTTCCTGCCTCAGCCTCCTGAGTAGCTGGGATTACAGGAATGCACCACCATGCCCAACTAATTTTTGTATTTTTAGTAGAGACAGAGTTTCACCATGTTGGCCAGGCTGGTCTCAAACTCCTGACTTCAAGTGATCTACCCGCCTCGGCCTCCCAAAGTGCTGGGATTCCAGGTGTGAGCCACTGCGACTGGCCTCATTAGTGGATTTAATATTATTGTAAAGGAGTTATAAATTAAAATGGCTGTTATTCAGCTTATATGAGTAATTGATTAGTAGGCTGAGTTTTTTGTAATTGTGTCTGGTTTAGCCCTCCTCATCCTCCTACTAAAAAATGATAATATAGTGGTGGTTAATATTACGTTTAGGTCTCAGAAAGAAAATGAATGTTTTATCTGAGGAATGTGAGCGCCTTTAAATTATCAAGCCCAGAGGAACATTTAAAATGTGACAGCCATCACGTCTCACTCTCTACTTGTGCTAATTACCTCTTAACACCCCTTGCTACCATGGGCTGTAGACTGATGTGAAGCAGCCACAAGATGCTCTGTGCTGGACAGCATGTACAGCCACTCAGTAACCAATATTATTTCTGTAAACCAGTGAGAATTCCTACCGAAAAACTTCTGCAGGCATGTCATTCAATGTCTCTGCAGGTCTCTGAAGCTCTCGAAAAGAGAGTAGCTCCTCTCTGTACCTGGTCATCCAATCCTCCATAAATTATCTGTAAATCTTACAATATTCTAATTAAGAAACAAATAAAAGTAAATGCCACTACTTTGTCTTTCGTTTTCCTGTAGCTGTGTCTTCAGAAGTTGGTTCCATGTAATTATTTGTCCTGAAAACAGAGAAAGCCCCTACAGGGAAAATCTGTCTTGGATTTTCATGTCCTGAGTTTCAAATTCTTGTGTATAAGTCCCCTTACTCTGAATCATGGCTGGCCTGTGTGACGAATAGAATATTGCAAAAGAAATAAGGTGTGATTAGGCCGGGCATGGTGGCTCACGCCTGTAATCCAAGCACTTTGGAAGCCAAGGCGGGCGGATCACCTGAGGTCAGGAGCTCACGACCAGCCTGACCAACATGGTGAAACCCCGTCTTAAAAAAAAAAAAAAAAAAAAAAAGAGTTAAAAAAAAAAAAGAAAGAAAGAAGGTGTGATTCCAAGATGAAGTCATTAAAGTCATGGAAATTTCCACCTTGATCTCTCTTAGATGACCTGCCCTGGGCGAGGTACGGTGGTGGCTCACACCAGTAATCCCAGCACTTTGGGAGGTCGAGGCTGGTGGATTACTTGAGTCCAGGACTTTGAGACCAGCCTGGGCAACATGGCAAAGCTCCATCTCTACAAGAAATTCTTCAAAAGATAACTTAATCTGTAGGAAGTCAATTCCCATGTCCCGAGTTTATTTAAGCAACCCTGTTGAGAGGCCTACGTGGCAAGAGATTGAAACCTTCTACCAGCCGCTAGCACGAACTTGCCGGCCACCTGAGCCTGGCGCCTGGGAATCATTCTCCAGCCTCAGTCAAGCCTTCAAATGACTGCAGCCGTGCCTGCCATCTTGACTGCAACCTCCTAGGGGACCGGAGACAGGAACACACACATAAGCTGCTTCTAAATTCCTTCCCCACAGAAACTGTGAGCGATAATACGTATTTATTGTTGGTTTAAGCTACGGAGTTTTGGGGTACCTTGTGAGCATTTCTAGATTCTAAATGGCATTCACCCTTTAGTGGGGGGTCATTGCTTGTTCTTGAGTCAGGACACACGTGGAATCACTCTGTTCATCTCCAAGTCACGGAAGGCTGGATCAGCCCTGCAGCTAAAAGGATGTGTGGTGGAATCATTTGGTAATGGCAGTTTTGAAGATGAAGTCTGAAAAATGTAAGTCGATTTTGCCGTCTTCTTGAAATCTTTAAACAAGGTGGAAGACCCTGGAATAAAAAAGGATTATATTTCATCCTTAAGATAAATATTTTAATTATTACTATTATCATCACAAACATTTGTAAATGTCAATCGGAAGACAATTTAACTACTTCTCTTTTTTTTGAGACGGTATCTTGCTGTGGACTCAGTGCATTCACCCAGGCCGGAGTGCAGTGGCGCGGCCATAGCTCACCGCAGCCTCAACCTCCTGGGCTCAAACATTTCTCCCACCTCAGCCACCCAAGTAGCCGGGACTGCAGGCGTGCATCACGACACCCAGCTAATTTTTTTGTGGTTTTGTTGACACATGGTTTCATCATGTTGCCCAGGCTGGTGTCCAACTCCTGGGCTCTAATCATCCACCCCCCTCTGCCTCCCAAAGTGCTGGGATCGCAGACATGAGCCATCGCACCCGGCCTGAACTACTGCCTTCAAGAGAATCCAAGCCAGGCATGGTGGCTCACGCCTGTAATCCCAGCACTTTGGGAGGTCAAGGCAGGTGGATCACGAGGTCAAGAGATCGAGACCATCCTGGCCAACATGGTGAAACCCCATCTCTACTAAAAATACAAAAATTAGCTGGACATGGTGGCGTGCACCTGTAGTCCAGCTACTCGGGAGGCTGAGGCAGGAGAATTGCTTGAACCTGGGAGGCAGAGGTTGCAGTGAGCCAAGATTGCGCCATTGCACTCCAGCCTGGCGCCTGGCGACAGAGCGAGACTTTGTCTCAAAAAAAAAAAGAGAATCCAGTGGAACACATACATTTTCTTCAATAAGATTACACATGCTAATAAGGGAAAAGGGAATATCTGAAATACAGTAGAGCCAATATGTGTTGTGGTAACAAGAACAATAATGAGGATAAAGGCAGACGCGATGACACATGCGTGTGGTTCTAGCCACACAGGAGGCTGAGGTCAGGGGATTGCTTGAGGCCAGGAATTCAGAGTTTGAGGCTGTGTTATGCGTGAGGGTGCCTGTGAATAGCCACTACACCCCAGCCCAGGCCATGTAGCGAGACCCTGTGGGTTAAAACATAATAGTAATGGTCGAGCGCAGTGCCTCACGCCTGTAATCCCAGCACTTTGGGAGGCAGAGGCGGGTGGATCACCTGAGGTCAGGAGTTCAAGACCAGCCTGGCCAACATGGTGAAACCCCATCTCTACTAAAACTACAAAAAATTAGCTGGGCGTGGTGGTGGACGCCTATAACCCCAACTACTTGAGAGGCTGAGACAGGAGAATCGCTTGAACCCAAGAGGTGGAGGTTGCAGTGAGCCAAGATCACGCCGTTGCACTCAGCCAAGATCACGCCGTTGCACTCCAGCCTGGGCAACAGAGCGAAACTCCGTCTCCAAATGATAAGAATAATAAAATAAGAATAAAAAAATAAAATGTAATTAATATGGGGACCACATATATCTCAGATCAGTTCATCCAAATTCCCTTCTCCCACTTACGTCCCACAAACAGGTTATGTTGTTCTTAGGTTTAGGTGCTGTTTGTTTGTTTGATGCATCATTTTCTTTCTTTCTTTTTTTTTTTTTTTTTTTTTTTTTTT